TATCAATGAAAATTCACATAAACCCCAAAACCCCAAAACCCCTAAATCATGATATTAAGTAGAAAATGAGAATCTTATTTTAAGGAATTCACTATTTTACAAATATATCTGAATCTTTAATAAATCGTATCTAAACTAAAAGAGAATTTATCAATGGAACTTCATAAAGTCACCTTACCTCACAGAGTTGATGACTCAATGGCAGTTTGGGAAGAATTTAAGGAAGTAAGCATCAAATATAAATGTGTATCACTTGGTGAGGGAGCTCCTGGAATGAATCCTCCACAATTTCTAGTTGATGCAATGATTGAATCTATTCAAGAGGGCTTCAATCAATACACTAGAATTATGGGAAACCCATTATTAGTAAACAAAATTGCTGAGATCTATGGCAAAAAACTCAACAGACAGGTCAATCCATTAACCGAAGTCATTGTGGGAGTTGGAGCCTACACTTTACTGGGCTCAATTATACTAGCTTTGATAGATCCTAGTAAGAACGAGGAAATCGTAATCTTCGAGCCTTGCTGGCCTTGCTACTATGATCATGTGCAGATATCTAATGCTGTATATAGATCTGTGCCTTTCAAACTTGTTGATGGAGTTTGGAGGTTTGATCCAGAGGAGTTTAGAAAGACTTTAAATGAAAAGACTAAAATTCTATTGCTAAATAATGCTTAGAATCCAACTGGCAAACTCTTCTCTAGGGAAGAATATCAACAGATCTCAGACATTTTAAAGGAGTTCCCTAATATTATTATCTTATCAGATGAAGTCTATGAGTACTTGACCTTTGATGATAACGAATTCATTCATTTTGCTACAATTGATGACAACTTTAATAAGACTATTTCAGTGTTTAGTGGTGGAAAGCTCTTCAACGCTACAGGCTGGAAAGTTGGTTGGGCACTGGGACCAAGCTATCTAGTCAAAGCAATTGCTACAATCATTAATGCTCTGGTATATAGTACAAACACTCCAGCATAAGTTGCCATATCAAAATCATTGGATAAGTTAACACAGAAAGGATACTTGGGTAATGAAGACCAAACTTATCTTGAATATGTAAGATCTGAATTCCAAAGAGTTAGAGATTACATGGTAAAAGAAATCAATGAAAATATGGATTTGCCTATCAAGGCTTTGACATGCGAAAGCGGTTATTTCATCATGGTTGATATCACTGATGTGATTCCTATGATTCCTAAGAAATACACAGAATCTCATGATTTTGAGGATCTTTAAGAGGGAGAGAGTTCTTGTAATTTGAACAGAGTATATATGCCTGATGGCAGAATTCCTAATGATTTAGCATTCTGTAGATGGATGGCTGTTGAAAGAAAGGTGATGATGATGCCAAACTCACTCTTCTACTACAAAGATTCTTTATATAAGACAGACAACTATGTTAGATTGGCCATTTGCAAAGGATTAGATCTTTCAGCCAAAGCAATTCTAAGACTTTAAGGAAAATCAGATCAGTGATATCAAAAGTTTATCATATCATGAATCAAATCCCTCTCAATCAAAATAATTCTTAATTTATTCTAAATTTTATACTCATATATTTACAAAAAAATGAGTTATTTGGGGTTTTGGGGTTTTGGGGTTTTGGGGTTTTGGGG